ATCCTGTGCTCTGGAATGTTTCTGTGCTCCACAATGATCCCAGTTCTCCACAGTGATCCCAGTTCTCCAGAGAGATCCCTGTGCTCTGGAATGTTCCAGTTCTCCACACTGATCCGTGCCCATTCCATCCTGTTCCCCCCCTGCTCCTGCAGGAGCCATGGCCAGGGGTCAGCACAATGCTAAATAATCATAAAATCCCATCTCATTCCTGACAGCTCCAGTCAGAGACATTCCCAGATTGATCTAAAGGATTTTGTGATGAATTCACCCCTGAGGAGCCAAGGGAGGCCTTGGTGCTGCTGCTCCCTCCAGAGCCACACACAGGACAGGGCCGTGGGGACAGGGACAGTGCCCCACACAGGGATGGCACAGCCTGCCCTGGCTGTTCCTCCTTGGAATCAGGAGTGGAGAACCCTTTTGAAATAATCAACACCAAATTCAATCCCTTAAAATAGCAGTGCCATAATCCCAGACAATCCTATTGCCTCAACTTAGGGGCCAACGTCTGTCCTCGTGCCTGGGCAGTGGTGGCAGGCCCAGGGCAGTCATTGGGGAGGTTGAATCAGGGTTATTTACAGAAATTATACTTGAATTGATTCTTATTCAAGAATTAGAAGGTTAAAATTATTAAGGTTAAAAAGAGGTTATTAAAGTTATTAAGGTTTAAAAGAATTATAAGGTTTAAATTAAAAATTACAGCAAATGCAGAGGTATTTTCCAGCCTAAACAATTCCATGATTCCAACCACTCCCATCCCACCAATTGGCCTGTGGGGAATGAAAAGTGTAAAATTTCTGCAGAATAAAAGTTGTTTAAAACGTTTTACCTGCAAACCAGGGATAAACATCCCATCAGAAAGCCTCAGAGGTTTGGTTTGTGATTCATTTCATTAAAATGGAACAAGAAGAGGTTTGTCTTCCCTGAGAACAAGGACAAAGATGGATTTAAAGAGGAGATGACACCCTGGTTTTGGTTAGTTCACAAATAAAATCCAAAAGCATTTCCTAGGAAACTGGACAATAACTAAACCAGCACTTTCCAGACACTGAATCATTTAACAATAAGGCCAGAAATCAATCAGATGCAATGAAATCCCAATTTTTAATACCATTTGCTGTTATTGTGTGTATCCTTTGGCCAGGAGCACCCACACGCTCCTTAAGGCATCACTTTGGATATGAGAAACAAAATCTGGCAAGAAATAAAAAATGTTAGAAAGAAAATACTGGAATTGTACTTTTCTACCTAAATCCTTATTTAAACCACTAAAATCTTTGGGGTTTGTACATTTCCAGCCTCTAGAAAAGCAGACTCAAAGCATTTGGAAGTGAAAAGTAAAATCTCGGCAGGAAATTGAAGGATTAAAGACGCCAAAAGTGTCCTCACTCTGAGAGGAACCGGGGAGCCGCTTAATTGGAAGTGAAAGGCAGGACACACTCGTTAATTAATTGTTATCCCCTCTATAAATAGGGCTTTGGCAGCGGGGGAGTGCCCGGCCCGGGTCAGCCCTGTCCCGCCGGGAATAGCTCCTAATCCCAGCGTCCCGGGATTAACGGGACCGGGCTGGTCCCGGGGCGTTCTCCATGCCCGGTTCGGTGGAACCGGGTCACGTCCTTTGTCCTTAGGGACCCTCGGTGTGCCGAGCCCTCCTGGGGGCTTCGGTGGGTCTGCGAGGATTTGGGGTGGTTTGGGT